ATATTACAAATTGTTCTAAAACTCCATAGGTCTTTTCCAGTTCATTCTAATAAACTAAATAAAAGAAGAAACAGGTATGCTGTAAAACTTCAGAAAACTAAAACTAAATCAGCCAAACGACATTACAAAATACATTCAGCTCACCTATATAAAAAAATAATAAAAGCATTGAAATATACCCTTTAAAATTAAGAGGTTGTAAAAATAAACTAATTGATTGGTTGCTGCCACTAAATTATACTGACACAAAAGATCTTCTCTCAGTATGAATTGGTGGTTGTATGATTTGTAGTTTATAGCCATTCGTCTATGCGACAGTTGTAATTATATAAATTATAAGCAAAAGTACTGTTTATGTTATCGAAAGTTAAAATTTTATGTTTGTTTTAAGCTACTGAATTGTTTTAGTGTGGAATAAATCGGAGATTATATTCTTCGATCTCTCCCAGATTACCTCTGTACTTAAATTTTATAAAACTTAATTAAAAATATTGTCAGCTCGTGTTCCCTAATCCATGAATAGTTCGATTTATAACAACAGTTTTTTTGTATCTACTTGTAAACTGCCACCTAGTAAAAATATAAATTCTAGATTTAAGGAAGTTCAAAAAATATATAATGTATAGTATGTAAGCATCATGAAAGGGCGGAGTTGCCTGCCACAAGTGTATATATATATATATATATATATATATATGCTTACTAGGCAGCTTCAACAATGAATATTGTATTATGGATATATCTTTTTTGATGAAATAAATATTTTTTGACTTTTTTTGATTTTTTGAAAATAATATTAGTTATTGTATACATGTGAAACTCGCCAAGACACACTTAAGCAGCGGGGTGGTCTAACTGTTCTAAATATTTTCTAAATGGGAAAAGGCATATCCTTTTGTGAAAACTTCTTTAGGCGCGTTCTTTCTGAACAGTGAAGGAAAGTGCACCGTAACGCTCGGGTCGGTGACGCTGAAGCGGGTTTACTCGGATCCACTCAACATCCACGAATCTGAAAACACTCTTTTTTTCATAGGAATCCGTCTGAGTACCTAACACCCCATTCCATATTATTCCACCAAGTTGCAGTGTCAGCTCTGATGTGTTCTAGTCTGTACAATTTACAGAGCGTGCATCATTAGTACTAGCAGGCTGTAAGTATTTGTAAGTGACCAGGCATCTTTAGTATTCTTTTCTTGAAGTTGGTTTCAGCTGCTTGGCTGCTTCAGCAGCCACTTACCATCAGGTGAACTGTTAAAAATATCTTATTTAGGTTGCCATTTTTTTCATTACAGGCAACGATTCCAAAATAAAAGATACAAATTCGCACCACTGATATTAAATAAAATAATAGAAACAGTCCTGTGTAATGGCAGTGTAAGAATATCCACTACCCCATATCCGCGGGTGTTGTAAGAGGCGACAGAGGGAAGCAAACCAGGAAATGGGCAGCAACGTCTTTCTAATAACGACTAAAAATAAAGAAGATGCGGTTGTCAACCCGCTTATCAAGCGTGGCAAATATGGCAAATATCCCCCTATGAGGCAGTTTATAAGGCCTTATATATAAGGCCTTTGTTCAGCAGCGGACTTTAATAGGCTGTAACGGCAACGGTAAAAAAACGATCAATAAAAAATATTGTAACAATATATTGAAAAAATTCTGGAAACTGCTATCGTTTTATATATCGCATATTGTAGGTAACATAAATGAAATAATATAAAAATTTTTCAACGTTTAACATGAGCAGCAGCTAATTCTGTAAACAAAATGTAACCCCAAAGTACGATATGCGACCTATTTCGCACAATTTTCCATATACTCGTACAAACAAAACAGGCAAATTTTAAAAGGCTTCCATAAAATTAAGCAGAATTCATGAAATGTAAGTAAGTGTACTATATAAGGGATAATATAGAGAAGGATACGATATTAGTATTGTCGCGCGAAACCGATGCAGCGGTCACCAAAATACGCTAATCGACCGCGCCGCTGCTGTCAAGCTACTGTCCCTATCCCAAGAGGCCGAACGCCGGGAAACGGCATACCGCTATACCTTAGTATGATTTTTCAAGCAAGTAGGCATAACCAAGCCATCTACCATATAATCATTTACTCAATTGTGCGGCAGCTGATTTCAATCTGATAATCTTCCAACTAGCTAGCCTTTTAGACATGACGTCGAAAGCGTCACAGAACATCGGTATCGATGAGGCGGACATGAAACAGTCAGTTTGCGATGTGTTTTATGCACGCTTGACAAAAGTGCTCAACAGTCTTTTGTCGGTTGTGAATAAGACACACGCATATAACGGTTGGATCATGCCTGTTCTCATGTATACATTTGGCATACTCAGGTGGACTCAGACCGAACTGAACGCTCTGGATAGAAAAGTCCGCACTATTATGACGTCCCACAGGATGCATCATTCAAGGTCGTCAGTAATGAGGCTGTACTTGCCACGGTAGCATGGAGGACGCGGCTTTTTAAGCGCGCTTACCATGCATAATCGCGAAGTGTGCAGCCTCCGTAATTACTTTCTGACGAGAGCGGATGATCCATTCTTTAGGGACTTTATTTCTTGTGATAAAGGACTTACCCCTCTATCTAAAAATATCGGAAATGCTCTGTACAGCCGGGTAGCCAACAAGCAATGGCATGACCCGGCAGTACAGAGCATTTCCGACCGGGAGACCGTATGGAAGGAGAACGAGCTCCACGGGAGGTTCTACAAGGCTCTACATGAGCCTTTCGACACAGTCGCCTCCCTCCACTGGCTACGTTTCGGTGACCTCTTTGGGGAAACTGAGGGTTTTGTCTGCGCGATACAGGATCAAGTTATTAAGACCAACAATTATCGGAAATACATCCTAAAGGATGGCGCCGTCGACATCTGTCCAGCTTGTCGCCATCCCGGTGAGTCACTTAAGCATGTCATCTCCGGTTGTTCGGCGCTTTCTAACTCTGAGTATTTGCACAGACACAACCTAGTTGCCAGAATTCTACACCAGGAGATCGCTCTGAAATACGGTCTCGTGGATCGGAAACTGCCATATTATAATTACTTGCCGGAAGCCATGCTCGAAAATGACCGGGCCATCATCACAGACAGGACTATTCTTGCGAATAAGCCTGATATTGTGCTGATGCACCGGGCACAGTCAAGGATATTTTTGATCAACATTACCATTCCTTATGATGAGAACCTCGTGAAAGCTGAAACAGATTAGCTGACAAAATATCTGGATCTGGCTCACGAGGTGACCGACATGTGGGGTGGTCTGCCGGCCGAAATTATTTCTGTGGTCGTTTCTGCGAACGGGTTAATCCCAGTCAGCCTCTCGGGTCATCTGAGGCGACTGGGACTCCGTGACGGATCGCTCCAAGCTCAAATGCAGAAAGCGGTGCTCCTAGATACCGCCCGCATCGTCCGCCGGTTTCTTTACCTTTTCCCCTAACCCTCGGCCGTTTGGTCTCCCCTGACGAGGGCTTCCATCTGGTTGGGTTTTTATATATTTATGTAATTTTTATGTATTTATTTTATATTATTGATATTTATGTAAGTTTATCATTTTCATTTACAATTATATATTTAAACAGCCCAACCACTTGAGAAAACTATACAAATACCCCACATAATAATAGTAAGTAATTATTAGGAACCCATATAGTTAATATTATAATAATTACTTATTAGAATAAATTATTACCTATATACATATATAACACACATATATATATACATATATATATATATATATATATATATATATATATATATATATATATATATATATATATATATATATATATATATCCTTACCACTATCTAAATACAATATTCCTTGTGATATTAGCATAATGTATCCGTGTTCATTCTGAGCACCCGGAAACTTATTTTATTCTTTTGAATATGTACACTGTGGCGCCAATCAAACAGTGTCAAATGTTGTACGTGCGGCAGGGCGGCAATGACTGTATGCGCTATCAATAGAAGCCGCCGGCACGTGTATGTTGACTTTGTACTTCCGAATAGCTGCAAAATTTCTTTGACAGGTCAGTATCCGACTTTTGATGATGCCGACAACAAGACGCCGGGCTCTGTCAAAACTAGGGATGTACTCTTTTTTCTTTTAATGGATATTTTCATTCACAATGTATGTTTATGGTATTGTTCGCAATGCGCATAAGTCCAATTTTCCAAAATTTTTAATATATTTTTTGCGTCTTATAGAGTCCCTAAGAGTATACCCGAACTCCTATAATCCCTGAAACGACACTCGGTCTTAACAGCAAGATGCAAGAGTCTGGCAGGCTTAGTCTTGTTCTTGCTCACATCTTGCAGGGTCAGTCTTGGTCTTGGTCTTGCTAAAATTAGGCGGTCTTGGTATTGGACTTGCAAAAATGCAAGAACAAGACCAAGATTACAAGGCCAAGACTCATTTTGGGCAACAATAATAGCTTCCCCTTCGTTGACTATTATGCCATGAAACAATATGGGGTAGTGGATATTCTTACACCGCCACTTTTGTTTTTTTTTTATAGGTTCGGGTGACAAACGAGCACACAGTCCACCTGATGGTAAGTGGTTACCCATAGACATCTACATCTATCCTCAATAAAGACTCAAGATGCAGATGCGTTGTCACCCGTGAGGACTAAGATGGAATGCCTCTTTGCCAGTAAAAAGGGTCTCCGGTTCTCTACACTCACCATACGAAACACAGCAGCGTTAAGCTGCTATTTTACGCTGGTTTTCTATGAGAGCGTGGTCCTTCTCCGGTGGAGCCGACCCATTCGTACTACAACCATAATATAGCTGCAGCATTGCTCTACCACGTAGAAAAGCCACTACACGATTATTATAGAAAAATGTGAATGTAACAATATTTCGACAAAATCCTGTTAAACAATTTCGGCTTTAAAATCATAAAGCTCACACGGGCTATTATTTAAATCAAACAATTAAACTGACAGACTACTCTCATAATCCACGCTCAGGCCGACTTAACGCCGCTGGCATTTTTGAAATTGCCCTACCACGAGAAAATATAATATTTGTATTTAATTATATTTTCTTTTATCTTGTGTAACTTTTCTGTAATTTTAAAGCAACTAACTAAGTGATGGAACACAACACCTGATGAATGGAATATAATAAAATAGAATATTTTTAATTCAATAAAGATAAGAAATATTTCTTATTAAAAGTCGTTGTTTTTCTTTTACTATTGCTTCGGAAAAAAAACCTCTGTCCTTGTATTCTTACAACAAACAAGAAACTTAACTAAACGTTTTTGTCTACAGTAAAGTTATAAAATAAAATACAATACAAAATAGTTTGTACAATTACATAGAAAAAGTTATATCAGAAACAGTTTCGTAGCAATCACCTCAATCCCAGGGGATATCAACCATGTTCTATTCATTTATATTATAATAAATATTATTAGTGAAGGAGGAAGGAAGGACTGGACTTCACTGCTGGCCGGATGAGGAAGCTCAAGGTCGCTTAGCGAGCTATGGAGAGGGCTATGCTTGGAGTTTCCCTGCGTGATAAACTTACAAATGAGGATATCCGCAGTAGAACCACCAGAGTGACCGACATAGCCCAACGGATTAGTAAGCTGAAGTGGCAATGGGCCAACCATATGTTTTTTTTATAGTATAGGGTGACAAACGAGCACACAGTCCACCTGATGGTAAGTGGTTACTGTAGCCCATAGACATCTACATCTATCCTCAATAAAGACTCAAGATGCAGATGCGTTGTCACCCGTGAGGACTAAGATGGAATGCCTCTTTGCCAGTAAAAAGGGTCTCCGGTTCTCTACACTTACCATACGAAACACAGCAGCGTTAAGCTGCTATTTTACGCTGGTTTCCTGTGAGAGCATGGTCCTTCCCCGGTCAAGCCGACCCATTCGTACTACAACTATACTACTAATATAGCTGCAGTATGGCTCTACCACGTAAAAATATAGCTCGAAGAACCGACAACCGGTGGGGAAAAAAGGTTCTCGAGTGGCAGCCTCGTATCGGCAGGCGAAGTGTAGGGCGTCCCCCCACTAGATGGAGTGACGACCTGGTAAGATATGCAGGAAGTCGATGGATGCAGGTGGCTCAGGACCGTGCTTTGTGGCATTCCTTGGGGGAGGCCTACGTTCAGCAGTGGACTTGTGAAGGGCTGTAATATATGTAATGTAACTATTATTATAAAATCTTTGCTTGACTAAAAAAAAATGCTAATAGAAACCTTGTACATATTTTTGGTACGTTGTTGTAATAGCATACATTGCCCATCAATGAATTACTGATTCTGTGCAGTCGAGTAACTGATATCACTAGCTTGTGTTTGTTTCTGGTTACAGAGTGTATTTTGGAACGAAGTTCCTTATCGGAAGGTACGGATGGCGGAGGCGACAAAAAGTGTAAGATTTTTTCGTCACTACCCCTTGTGTCATTGTTTATTTTATTTTAAATGACGCTTCATTTTAATAGACGCTAGTAATACATTTATTTGTATTTGTTAATCAATAATATAATACGTTTATCAATAATAAGGAGCTTCGTTCCAACTTTTTTAAAAATAAAATTTCTTTTATTTATGTCAACAAACTATGGCGGCACTGCTTTCGTTTGCAGTCTCCCAGATTGTCCAAAACAAGTTTTCGCTAATATATCGAGAGGCTAAATTTAATAATATATTTCTTCAAATTTTTCCCTGAGAGAGTTGTTCGGGTTAAGATTATAATGGCAATTACGGTTCTCATCTGCAAAACAAAACTAGTTTCTAAATCTGCCGCATTTTGTCATAGCATATGATGGAAATAACTGAAAAAAATCTAAGTGTCTCGACACCAGTGAGCCTTCTTAGTCTGCTTCCAAATTTAGATATAAGGGGCGGCGCTAAAAATTTGCGTCGAAAGTAATACTAAGGAATACTGTGGAATAGATAAGCCTCAGTTCTGCGGTTATTTAACTATATCCGTTACCGATACAGCCTATTAAAAACCACTGCTGAACAAATGTCTGCCCCATGGATTGCATCATGGGGGGGGGGGGGGGATATGCTATAGTTGCAACGATTGGCAAGCGGGTTGGCTTGTTTGTTTATTCTTAGTCGTTATTAGGAAGAAGATGCTTTCCATCTCCTGATTTGTTTCCATTTGTCGCCTTTTACGACACCCACGGGATGGTATGTAGTAGTGGATATTCTTACACCGCCACTAGACAGTCATGGTCGGTTTAATTATATCGTGTATTTTATATTCTGTAGTGCTTCAAAATATGATTCTTCTATTATATTAAATTCGTTCTATTATATTAGCCGTGTAGTGGCGGTCAAGAATATCCACTACCCCATGTCCTCCCGTGGGTGTCGTAAAAGGCGACAAAGGGAAACAGGCAGGAGATGGGCAGCAGCATCTTTTTGATAACAACAAACTAACAATAAAAAACTGCGGTTGCTAACCCGCTCGCCAAGCGTGGCAACTATGGCAAATACCCCCCTATGAATGACAGTAACAAGGAAACGGCCCCCAGTCCCCGGCGGCCCCGCTATTCCTGGCTACGGTGGCGACCATGGTAACGGCGGGGCAGGGGGTGTTAAGAATCTCCGGTGGAGGTTCGGTTGCCACCTTAGACGACTCGACCTGGCAACGTACAACGCACGCACCCTGAGGACTGACGAGAAGATTGTGGAGCTGGAACAAGAGATAGACAAGTTGCGCTGGCATATTATAGGATTATCCGAAGTCCGAAGAGAGGGGGAGGACACGGTAATCCTCGAATCCGGCAACTTGCTCTATCACCGGGAGGGCGACCATCTGTCCCAAGGAGGTGTCGGATTTATCGTCCACAAGTCTCTCGTTAACAACGTTGTAAAGATCGGGAGTGTGTCGACGAGGGTTGCGTACCTTATACTCAGAATCACCAAACGGTATTCGCTGAAGGTCATACAGGTTTACGCACCAACCTCGGCACACCCCGATGAGAAGGTGGAGAAAATGTATGAGGATATCTCTAGAGCCATGCATTCCTCCAAAACCCAATATACGGTGTTAATGGGAGACTTCAACGCAAAACTAGGCACAAGAGAAAACGGTGAGCTGATAGTAGGAAAATTTGGAATAGGGCAAGGGAACCCAAGGGGCCAGCAGCTGGCCGACTTCATGTAGAAAGAGGGACTCTTTATGATGAACTCTTTTTTCCAGAAGCGGCCCCACAGGAAGTGGACCTGGTCGAGCCCCGACGGTTCGACAAAAAATGAGATTGACTTCATTATGACGACCAGACGACAACTGTTCAGTGATGTCTCCGTGATCGCGAGGGTGAAAACTGGTAGCGATCACCGAATGGTTAGAGGCACACTGAACCTAAACGTTAAGTTGGAGAGGTCTCGTCTAATGAAGTCAACGCTCCGTCCCCCTCGTGCTTTGTTCCAAAGTCCCGAAACCTTTCAGCTCGAGTTACAAAACCGTTTTCAGTGCCTAGAAGACTGCAATGAAGTGGACGATATGAATGACAAGCTCGTGGAAACTGTCCATGCGGTCGGAGCTAAGTTCTGCAAGATCCGCCGCAGAAGAACACAAAAACTCTCCGATCACACTCTTAATCTCATGGCTGTTAGACGGAAGATGAAGCTACATTCTTCAACAGGCTTGACAGCATACAGGCATCTGAACAGACACATCTCCAAATGCATGCGGCGGGACTTACGCAACTTCAATACAGCTCGTATTGAAGAAGCGATCGAGCGGAACCAAGGCTCCAAAGTCTTTGCCAGAGATCTGTCTGCCAGAAAGAGCCAACTGTCAAAGCTGAAGACAGAATGTGGCAGCATCGTTTCCGGGACACCTGAGATTTTGAGAGAGATTGAGAGGTTCTATGGGCAGTTGTACACGTCATCGTTGGAGCCACACGCAAGTGTGAGTAACGATCCAAGAGCGAGTCTCATCCGACACTATTCCGAAGATGTCCCGGACGTCAGTCTGAGCGAGATTAGAATGGCTCTCCAGCACCTTAAAAACGGTAAGGCCCCAGGCGAGGATGGAATTACAGCGGAGCTTCTGAAAGCGGGTGGAAGACCGGTACTTGAAGTCCTTCAGAAGCTCTTTAATTCCATCCTCCATGGTGGCATTACACCGGAGGCGTGGAGCAGAAGTGCGGTGGTCTTGTTCTTCAAGAAAGGTGACAACGCTCTCTTGAAGAACTACAGACCGATTTCCCTTCTGAGCCGCGTCTACGTGCTGTTTTCGAGAGTCATTACGAATCGTCTCGCGCGCAGACTTGACGACTTCCAGCCTCCCGAACAAGCCGGTTTCCGAAAGGGCTTTAGCACCATAGACTACATACATACCCTTCGGCAAGTTGTACAGAAGTCCGAAGAGTTATGTCTGGCGTATGTGGACTATGAGAAAGCCTTTGATTCCGTCGAAATTTGGGCGGTGCTGCAGTCCCTTCAGCGGTGCCAAGTTGACTGTCGGTATATCGAAGTGTTGAAGTGCTTGTACAGTAGGGCTACGATGGCTATCCGAGTACAGAACCAGAGTACGAAACCTAACCAATTGCAGAGAGGTGTAAGACAGGGTGACGTCATATCCTCGAAACTCTTCACCGCTGCATTGGACGACGTTTTCAAGCTTCTGGACTGGAAAGGATACGGTATCAACATCAATGGCGAGTACATCACTCACCTTCAATTTGCCGACGATATAGTTCTTATGGCAGAATCGCTGGAGGACCTAAGCACTATGCTCAATGACCTCAATAGTGTTTCCCAACGGATAGGTCTTAAGATGAACATGGACAAAACAAAGATCATGTTTAATGTCCATGTCACACCTATGCCGGTAGTTGTTGGGAACACTAAGCTCGAAGTTGTTGACGAGTATGTTTACCTGGGACAAATAGTCCGACTAGGTAAGTCCTACTTCGACCGAGAGGTCAATCGACGGATTCAACTCGGCTGGGCAGCGTTCGGGAAGCTACGACACATCTTCTCGTCAGACATACCTCAAAACCTTAAAACGAAATTGTACAACCCGTGCGTGTTGCCAGTGATGACTTACGGAACTGAGACGTGGTCCTT